CCCTTTTGTTCTCTCTCTCCTTTTGGGTGTTGTGGTCTGAAAAATAGGCAATGAGTGGCAGTCATGTTCAGTCCATAGTCTACTTTCAACATGTATCTCCTCTCCTGGGAGGATCCTCCAAACACCCTTTATTTGGTGCTTCCTTCTCTATCTGAGCTGCCCTTTCCCCAAGAGTGTCTGGTTGGCCTCTAAGCCATGGAGTAATCCTCCTGGTACTGATCTCGGCTATTCTTGGGTATTAATCTCCTATTTTGTTACTTTATGTCCCCCAGATGAATGCAATCATTGTATGTCTATCCCTCTCTTTCTGATTCATTTCGCTTAGCATGATACTTTCCATGTGGTACCACTTGTATATAAAATTCATGACTTCATCTTTTCTAACAGATACATAGTACTCCATTGTGTAGATGTACCAAAGTTTCTTTAACCAGTCATCTGTTCTTGGGCATTCAGGTTTCTTCCAGTTTTCTCGAAGAACCAGCTCTTAGTTTCATTGATCTTTCGGATTGTTTTTTGGGTTTCCATCTCGTTAATCTCTGCTCTGAGTTTTACTATTTCCTTCCTCCTGTTCGAGTTGTGCTCCTTTTGTTGGTCCTTCTCCAAGCTCTTAAGCTATGAGGTTAGGTTATTTTTGTGGGCTCGCTCCTCCTTTCTGAGGAATGCTTGTAGAGCTATAAACTTTCCTCTTAACACAGCTTTTGCTGTGTCCCATAAGTTTTGGTAACTTGTGTCCTCATTTTCATTCATTTCTAGGAATCTTTTGATTTCCTTTCTAAGCCACTCATTGTTCAATAGTGCACTGTTTAATTTTCCAGGTGTTTGATTTAGTTTTCTGTTTTTGTGTGTGATTTACTTCTAATTTCAGCTCATTATGGTCAGAGAAGATTGTTGATACAATCTCTATATTCTTAATTTTATGGAGGTATGTTTTCTGGCTCAGCATGTGGTCTATCTTCAAAAATGTTCCATGTACGCTTGAGAAGAATGTGTATTCAGCTTTTTGAGGATGAAGTGTCCTGTATATATCTACTAAGTCCCTTTCTTCCATTGTTCCCCTCAGATGAAGTATGTCATTATTAAACTTGAGTCTGATTGATCTATCAAGAGGTGATAAAGCGGTGTTGAAGTCTCCCACTAGTATTGTGTTGCTATTGATGTCTTTCTCCACATCTATGAGTAGTTGTTTTAAGTACTTTGCTGGTCCCTCATTAGGTGCATATACATTTAGTATTGTAAGTTCTTCCTGTTGTCCAGAACCGTTGATCAGTAAGAAATGGCCTTCAGTGTCTCTTGTGACCTTCTTCATTCTGAAATTGATGTCGTCTGATATTAGGATGGCTACCCCAGCTTTTTTATGGGAGCTGTTTGCCTGTAGGATTGTTTTCCAGCCTTTGACTCTGAGTCTGTGTTTGCTTTGATTATTGAGATGTGTTTCTTGCAGGTAGCATAATGTTGGGTTCAATTTTCTAATCCATCCTTCCACTCTGTGTCTTTTAATTGGTGCGTTTAGCCCATTGACATTGAGAGATTATTGTTATGGGATTTTGTCCCATTGTTCTGTTGAAATTTAGTGTATTTGAGGGGCCTGTCTTGCCTTAAAGTAGCCCATTTAGTTGTTCTTGTAACCATGGTTTTGAATCTATGAAGTTCCTGAGCTGTTGTTTTTCTGTGAAACTGTATGTTGTTCCTTCTTTTATGAATGATAGTCTCGCTGGGTAAAGTATTTTTGGAGAGGCATTTATTTCATTGAGTTTTTTTTTGCTATATCCCACCACTGTTTTCAGACCATGAGGGTTTCATCAGAAAAATCAGCTGTGAATATTAAGGATGCTCCTTTGTAGGAGATTTCTTTCTTCGATCTTGCTGCTTTCAGAATTTTGTCTCTATCTAAGGTTTTGGTCATTTTGATCAGGATGTGTCTTGGGGTATTTTTATTCGGATTTCTTCTAGCTGGTACCCTTCGGGCCTCCTGAATGTGGTCACAAGTTTCTTCAGCTCTGGAAACATTGCAGCAATGATGTCTTTGGCAGTTTCTTCTTCATCAAGGTTTTCTTCTGTTCCTCTGGGACTCCAATAATTCTTATGTTACCCCTCTTGGCTTCATCACGATCTTCTCTTGCCATCTGTTCCCGAATTGTGAGTCTCTTTTCCATTTTCTGCTCTTTTCTGGAGAGTCTCTGAACTTCATCTTCGAGCTCACTGATTCTGTCCTGAGCAGCTGTTACTCTGCTGCTTAGGCCTTCCACTGAGTTTTTCCATTCGCCTACCAGGTTTTTCAGGTTTGACCTTTCCGTTTGTATTTTCCTTATTTCTGCCTTCAAATCCTCTTGTCTTTTATTGGCATTGCTTTCCATTGTTTCTTTTAGTTCCGTAAGCATCCTCAGGAGCTCCCTTCTGAATTCCTTGTCAGAGAGGTTGTCTAACACTACAGTATTGTTGGTGTCTTCTGGGCTAGCCTCTTCAATAAGAAAGTTTGGTGGGCTTTTGCATTGCCTTACCATTGTAACCAGTGTGGTTTAGTCCTTCACGTTTACTGTTACTATTCTGCTTGATATGCAGAGTGAGTTGAGATTGGCTTAACGAGTTATTGGCTAATGTGTTTCTAATGGTTGAGCTAACCTAGAGAAGGTTCCATCTAAGAGGGTGACGTATGGTTCCTATGGGATATATAGTGGGAGAATAATTCACGGCCGCTAATGCAGCCACGGCTCCAGAAAGGGTCCCTGGCGCTGGGCGCCAGCAGTACCTGTTTGAATGAGGAGAGAGTCCCCAGAGCCGTTCAGTTTGTTTCTGCGAGATGTGCCTCACTTCCCCGTCTGTCCCTCTGCGATGGTCAAAGTAATCCTGAGGAAAAAAGAATAAAAATAGAATTCGAAGAGGCACTGCTGGCGCCCAGGGCCAGGGACTCTTTCTGGGCATGTGCAGCTAGCTTGATCCCCTAGAACAGCCGGTTTTCCCCCCCAGGATCTGCGCAGGATGAACAGAGAATCTGTGACACTTGTTCTTGAGTGTAAACTATTTAGGAAACATTTTTTAAGTCTTTATAGTCTCTGAGTCTTGGCCGTTGATGGGATTACACGGCGCAAGGGGGCCAGTTGGTGAAAGACTCAGAGACTATAAAAACCAGCTCCCGGAACCATGCCGCATTCGTGGCCGCGCGACATCCTATTATGACATCTTATTATCTCATTCCTACTTTGGACAAACTGGCAGGCTACCGAATGTAGCCTGCCCACACGGCAGAGTCTGGCAAACTCCCCATGGCGTACCCAATATGCCAAATACCAGTAACAATGATGGGTCTCATTCTCCTAAAGAGCCTTGAATATAATCTCAGGGCTAGGATGAAGGAAACGTTACTGGGGCCTGCTCGAGGCAATCGACTATTAACAGGATGATTTGTGATTTTGTGATTTTAAGTCTTATTTCTAATTTGTGCTTGAATACCATCCTGTATGAGTCAGACACCATGATCTTGATCAGTCTCTTTCTGTAATCATTTAATTTGTGATTTTATTTCTGGCCTAAGTGGTGTTTTGTTAATTTGTGTAACTGCTTTTATTACAGTTTCACACTATTCATAATATTAATACAATTTCATAGTGTTTTAATTAACATAGCTGTTGAAGTTGAACAGAATTTTATTTTTATTCTTTTTTCCTCAGGATTACTTTGACCATTTCGGGTTTTTTAAGGTTCTCTACAAATTTTAGTATTTGTTCTATTTCCATGAAATAAATGCCATTAGGATTTTGATAGGGATTGCATTGCTTTTGGTAACTTGCTTTAGACTATTTTCACAATTTTCATGAGCATAGAATATTTCCCATTTCTTTGTGTCTCGGATCTTTAAGGTCCTTTATTAGTTTTATTTGTAGATGTTATCTTTTTGTTTCAATTATATATAGAATATTTTTAAATTAACAAGTACAAGGGGCTGGAGCGATAGCACAGCAGTAGGGCGTTTGCCTTGCACGCAGCCAATGTGACCGACCGGAGTTCAATTCCTCTGCCCCTCTCGGAGAGCCTGGCAAGCTACCGAGAGTATCTCGCCCGCACAGCAGAGCCTGGCAAGCTCCCCGTGACGTATTCGATATGCCAAACACAGTAACAACAAAGTCTCCAATGGAGACATTACTGGGCCCGCTCGAGCAAATCGATGAACAACGGGAGGGCCTTTACCTTTTGGGCTGGAGCGATAGCACAGCGGGTAGGGCGTTCGCCTTACAAGCGGCCAACATGGCCGACCCGAGTTCGATTCCTCCGCCCCTCTCGGAGAGCCCGGCAAGCTACCGAGAGTATTCGATATGCCAGACACAGTAACAACAAAAGTCTCCAATGGAGACGGTACTGGGCCCGCTCGAGCAAATCGACGATCAACGGGAGGGCCTTTACCTTTACCTAACAAGTACAAATTCTTTGGGTATGGTCTGTGCACCCATCAAGCTGCTCCTTTAATGCTCAGTATGTAAATCTTTTTTACCAACCTGTGTTACCAGTGGTTTCAGTCGCTGTGAAACCCCCTTTCCAGTACAGGTACCCATAGTTGGGCATTGGGAAGCAAACCCTTTGCTCCCCAAGGAGAGACTATTCTCTGTGAAGTCCCTTTCAACCCATGGGTGATTCTCAGGTGACATTCCTGGGGAGACTGTGCCTTCGCCCTTTCCTACCCTTTTAGATAGTAGTTTCCACTTTTTATCATGGATATGCTGATACTTCAATCGTCAGTTCTTTTCCTCATACAGTTGGAGTCAGTGTCTTGGTGAGAACCAGGTGAGCCTGGGATCTTCCTACTCCCTCCTTCAGCTTGAGGTGTTTCTTTTTGTTTATTTGATTTTAGGCACCTATTATGGGTTTTTTCCATGTATTTTTCCTAGTTTAATAATTTGCTTTCATCTGAGTAAACATTTTAGGTAAAAATTTTTATAATTTATATAGTAATTTAGATTAAAACAACCTATCAGAAACATACCTGATTTCTTGTTTTTGTCTTCTAGAATCTCTACACAAGGAAGTACAGGATTTGGCCTTTCTAGATGTTGTTTCTAAACTTCGCAGCCATGAGAACAAAAGTGTGGCCCAACAGGCCTCTCTCACAGAGCAAAGACTTGCTGTGGAAAGCTGAGAATCGCCATTCTCTGATAAATAGCCTCCTCCCTTCTCTGATTTCCCTGTTGTTCTCCATCCAGCTGCCTCTTCTGCTTCATTCTCTGCCATATCACTTGCGCATGTGTGTAGTGTTCCTATACAGTTACAAAACTGCTGTCAGTATCTGCTCAATAAGATTTATAAACCCATAGCTAGTGTGAACATGAATTTGTCAGAAACAAGTTTTCACACCTAACTGTTCTATTGTATTCCTGTTGCCTGAACTCTGTTGAGTAGAATGTGCATGTTGTAGTCCTATGATGACGTAAACTTAGTACTACATAATGACTTATTCCTCACACTTTGGTAAACTACATAATAATGTTCTGATAAATTAGAAGCAAGCAAGAATGCAGCAGAATCTATCTAGTATTTTAAGATGGATTTGAATAGTAAAAATAGTTTAATTTTATTGATGCTTGGGAAGCACATTGACCAAAAATTGTATGACTGCTTATTCATTTAGTCTTACCTACTAATGTCAAACTCATGGTACCTAGAGTTAAATAAAAACACATTGCTTTCACAATTTATACTATGTTTCTTTTTCTTCTCAACAATGTAGGCTCATGGCAAGACCTTCTGAGTTTTTTGTATGTCATATTTAACTGACTCATTATTTTCCAGATGTTGAAAATACCCTGTAGTTTTCATCATGCCTCAGAAGAACTGCTGTTATACTTAATTCCTCTTATTTTTTGCCTGTGTCTTAGGTTTTTGTATGTAATTTCTCTTAGCATTTCTTCCATCAATTAATCAGATGTTTAACATTTAGCATAAGTTTTTAGCTGGAGAAATTGGGCATAGCTCATTGGACATTGGAATTTCCCCCCTTCACTGTTTAGCTTGAAAATGAAGTGTATCTGTTTTGGTCCTTTAAAATCATATACTAACACTAATAGGACATAACAGAAATCTGAAGAAAGGAAAGAAACAGGTTATAAAAGCCTTAGCAAGCAGAAGATGGTTTTATAAATAGCCACTAAAAATTTCTCACTTCCAGCGCTGGAGCGATAATATAGTGGGTAGGGCGTTTGCCTTGCACATGGCTGACCTCAGTTCAATTCCCAGCATTCCATATGGTCCCCTGAGCACCGCGAGGAATAATTCCTGAGTGCAAAGCCAAGAGTAATCCCTGTGCATCACCGCATGTGACCCAAAAAAAAGCAAAAAAAAATTTTAAAACAAATTCCCACTTCCCTTTTCCATAGAGATCTGCAATATAACTTGAAGGCGATCACAAAAGTGACAGCACCAAGACTTGAGGTGACCCCCTTCGCAAAATACAGTATATTCTTCACTACCACCTCCACTACCAAAAAGGTTTTGAGGGTGTAATAAACAATATTTGCAAATTAAATAAAACATCCTTCTGACCCATTCACCTTCTGTGTCCATGCTTGACAAATATGGATGAAAAGGTAAGCTTCAGCATGACATGCTGTATCTGAGTGGCATACATCTGAGTTACACTTTTAACTCTGAAACAACTGTGAGACAATGAAAACCAGAATGGATAACCTTTTAACTGTTTCACTTAATGTTGAAGAACTGTCACTGTCACTGTCCTCCCATTGTTCATCTATTTGCTCAAGCGGGCACTAGTAACGTCTTCATTGTGAGACTTGTTACTTTTTTGGCATATCGCATATGCCACCAGGAGCTTTCCAGGCCTTGCCTTGCGAGCGGAATAATCTCGGTAGCTGCCGGGCTTTCCGAGAGGAGTGGAGCAATCGAACCTGGGAAGGCTGCATGCAAGGAAAATGCCCTACCCACTGTGCTATCAATCCAGCCGTAATGTTGAAGAAAGTTACTAATATTGTGAGTTCTTATGCTTTATTTTCTGTAAGACTGATATTTGTTTTCTGTGGTGGAGAGTAGATTATATTTTATTACAGGTTTTGAAGGACATTTGGGTAATATTAATAATGCTCTCCAGGTTTAATAAAGTAGACTACTATAGCATCATTTGGTTTACCTGTATATATTTATATATACATATATAAATGTTTATATTTTTTTCTATTTCTAGCTCCAAAAAAAGTGATAACTCATTGTTAGTTTTCAGTAAATATTTTTTGAATAAACTCCAATATACATGAAACTTAAAGACTGCCTGAACTATTTTTAGGTAGATTGGTAAATTGAAATTTAGTTTGTGAAGTTTCAGATAATATTTTTGCTGTTGTGGGACCCATGACTGTTGAAAAGCATTATACAGAAAACTGAAAAACAAAAAGCATCCAAAGATCATAGACTTGAGAGAAACCATCTCTGGGCCAGTTGCCAGCTGTGTATTTTCTGGTATGCTAGAAACTCCATCTCTTTACAGAAACAGAGTGTAGTTAGAATCACTATTCGTTCTGGTAAGATGACAAGGCATACTCTTTGATAACAGGGAAGCACCAAATTAAGTGATGTGTTGCATGGCAGTGATAGTGTAAAGATAGGACTCTCCCTCATATCCTGCTACCTAATCTTTAGTTATAGAGTCCACCTTTACATCAGCTTGCTATCTACTGAGTGCATTCTAAAGGAGAAAATGGGAGGAGTAGGAAGTACTGTCAGGATCAGACAAAAGGGGAAAAATTACAGCAGAATCTTCAGAAATCCAAGACATCATCAAATGTTGAATTATAAATCCAAGCATTTTAGGCTTGACATTGGGTTGTCCTTTCTCCTCCTTCAGAGAGCTTGAGTTAAAAATTAAACTCACCACAGTGTTCTCAAGCACAGCCAGTTCAGTCAAAGCAATTACAATCCTCCATATTTATCTTTAACCTCTCCTTTGTGTTCTCCTTCCCCTACTGTTACGCACAAATATCTCCAATCAGACATAGTAACTTGTAAAGTCCAACTTTCTGATTGCTCTGGATTTTGTATATGCAAATGAAATATTCCTTTTCTCTTTTCTTTATGCCTATTGCATATTTGAACTTTAGAGCAATGTCCTTTTTGTATAGACGCAGGAAGACAGTTAACGCTATGCTTTTATAAAACAGAAGTTAATTCACTCCGAATAATATTTACCCCTGGATATTCATCATATTTACTTAAGCCTCAGCTGCCTTTACATTGACCTTAGTTCCCTATATCCCAAAAGGAGGGTCCCTCCAGGAGACAAGTTAAGAGCATAGTCATGGAACAAACTCTGACACGACTCAAAAAAAAAAAAAACAAGTAACTGTATAAAGACCCAACTGGAGTTAGGAAAAACTAACCTGGCCTGAGGACTGTAGTCTGGGAAATATAGCGAGATGTCCCCAGAAAAAGTCATCCTTTACCATCAGTCCAGAAAGACCATTTTAAGCTTAATCTATGGTAAGATAAAATCCTGTATCTCTTACTGTGTTCATACAAAACGACTAGAAATATTATTAAGAAGTAAATTTAATATGATTTTTTAAACGGATTACCAGTAAAGGAAAGAGAAAGCAATATACCCTTAGATGGAATTCCACCCTTGAGCAGATCTCCTAGAAGGAATCTAGAGTGCTGGAGCCCCTAGATGAAATTCTGTCCTTGGTTGGATCTCCTAGAACAATTTCCCCTGAAGGAGGGACTTTACATCTGTTCATTTTTTATGTTAATGTTTAACCACACTATGTGTAATTGCTGCTCTCACCCCCACATGATTTCTCTAAAGTGATGCTGACTTATTTGAATAAAGTGGCACTTGTAATCAGCCTGTTGAACCCATTCTTTCTTCCATTGACGGGGAAGTCATCAGCCCCGAATGCACCGGGGACCAGTGACACAGACAATCAAGGGTTTTCTATGAACAGCTCTACACTGTTAAGTTAGAAAACCTAGAAAAGAATAAACAAATTCTTAGAAACACGTAATCTCCCAAAACAGAACAAATAGGACATAATTTGAACAGGCCAATCACAAGCAAAGAAATCAAAACAGTAATTAAGAATGTCCCAAAAAACAAAAGTCCAAGTCCAGATGTGTTTGCTCATGAGTTTTATCAAATCTTCAGAGAAGAAGACTTACTGCTGCTGATCAGTAAGCTCATCCAAATATTTGAAGAAAGAGGAATGCTTCCTAATACCTTCAATAAAGCAAATATTACACTGATACCCAAAGCCGACAGAAACATTTCTTAAAAAGAAAACTTCAGAACAATTTTCTTGAAGAACATTGATTCAAAAATCCTCAACAGTGGACCAGTCCTTCTGGCCCTCGTTTCTACTGTCTTTGCACCCAAACATAGACTCATTTTTTTTTATATCCCATAAATGATTGTAATCATTCTGTGTCTGTGCCTCTCCTTCTGATTCACTCAGCATGATACTCTCCATGTCCATTTATAAGCAAATTTCATGACTTCATTTTTTTTCTAATAACTGCATAGTGTTCCATAGTATTCCACTATGGAGATGTTTCTTTAACCAGTCATCTGTTCTTGGGCACTCGGGTTTTTTCCAGATTCTGGCTATTGTAAATATACTGCAATAAACAAGTGCAGATATCATTTCTACTGTACTTTTTTTGCATCTCCGGGATAGATTCCCAGAAGTGGTATTGCTGGTTCGTATGGAAGTTCAATTTCTAACATTTTGAGTAATGCCCATATTGCTTTCCATAATAGTTAGCTGCTTCAAGTTCTGGGAGAAAAGGCAGTTGGAATAAAGAGACTAGTATAACAAAGATAGTTGAAAATTATCACTCTGTTTAAGAACTCTTTGGTGAAAGTAGGAAAAAACATGATAACCTCTCTATCTGAATTGCAAACCATAATGCCCAAAAGGAGACAGAGATAGAAGGAGAGAGAGAGAGAGAGAGAGCCTGCCTTACAGACTGCCAAGATGGTTTGGGGAGGGATACTGGGGACATTGGTGGTGGGAAATCTACACTGGTGGAGATGTGGATGTTGGAACATTGACGGAAATCCAATCAGGAACAGCTCTGTAACTATCTCATGGTGATTAAATTAAATATTTTTAATGCAAGGGTGGTTCAATACACACAATACACCACCACAGCAGTGATGAGAAAGATAAAAATCATGCGGTATCAATTGATGCAGAGAAAACATTTGATAAGATCCAACATCCATTTATGGTAAAATCCTTCAAGATAGGAGTTCAAGAAACCTTTCTCTAGTAATAAGGGCTAGGGGCCGGAGCAATAGTACAGATAGTTTGCCTTGCATGCAGCCGACCCAGTTTCAATCCCCAATAACCCATATGGTCCCCCCATGGACTGCCAGAAGTAATTCCTGACAAGGAGTAACCCCTGAGCATCACCAGGTGTGCCCCCTCCCCCCAAAAAAGTAAAGTCTATTTATAATGATGCTACAGTGATTTTTGTTCTTAATGGTGAGAACCTGAAAACATTCCCACTGAGATCAAATACAAGGCAAGGATATCCACTGTCTCCTCTCCTACTTAACATTGTTTAAGAAGTCCCACGACAATCAATCAGACAAGAAAAGGAAAATAAGTGAATCAAAATTGGGGACAAGGTGAGTCAAATTATCTCAATTTATAAACAACTGTATTATTCATAGAAAACTAAGAGTCCA